GAACAATATTATTCTGTTTATTAAAGAAAATAAAATAAATCTTTTAAGAAAGGATTTTGTTTTTCTTTTGAAAACCAAAGTCAAAGACAAGTGGAAATGTTTATTTCACCTTTGGGGAACCCCTACACCACTTTAGTTTAGTTTAGTTTTGATGCCTTCAGTGTGAATCTACAATGATCATAGTCATGAAAATAAAGAAAACTCTTTGAATGAGGTGTGTCCAAACTTTTGGTCTGTATTTTTTTATTTTTTGCATAATCATTTATTTCAGTTGATGTRCAATCTGCTTTGAATGTCTCATGTCACGGTCGTCTCAAACAGAATGCACTTTTAAATGATGCATTTGTTAACACATGCCTTATCACCATACAACAGTTCGACACTTACATAACTATTTTCTTATCAGAACTTAGTCTGTTGTTTAGGGATCTAGTCACGTGGTAAGATAGTCCCAACTGATGTAACATCTTGCCCCTGAGGCATGGGCAGGWCCGGAAGAGTTTGTTTAAATTTGGACTGACTTTCTGAGATCAGGGCCAAACGCTTTGACTGAAAAAACGGTCTGTATTTTGGTCCAGCTGTTGGTCTTGTATGCCTTTATTTCTTGCATTTAACATTCAAGTCTAGTTCTGCATTTGTTCTCTGGTTCTCATTTGTACCGAAGTAAAAGAACGTAATCTTTCAAGAGTCTAGTTGATTTAGTCTCTAGGATAATCACTGGTTACTCAACTTGTTCTGTGGGTTTCTCAGCCTGTTTTGTTACTATATGAGGTGTTGGTGCAGAGGATATTACATGATAAAAGTATCATATGATGCAGTCAAGACTACTGGTGTTCACTGTGTAAATAGAAAACAAAATATGGATAATGAAAGTTTCTGTTACAATCTTAGATAAAGTTCAGGGTAGAATATTTTTTAGTGTTCTACCTGAAAATAAGATACAAAGTTTCTAAATGTCAGATGAGCTCCAGCTGAAGTCTCTGTATGTTTCACATGGGACAGTGCTGCTACTAGCCACCAGGCGGTGCTGTTTGACAAAGATTAAACAGAAGATGGCTTTACAGTGCGTTGTTCTTGTCACTTCACCAGAACATGCACAATGAAATCTCAGCTTCCTGCAGCCGTTACCAGACTCTCAGGTTGTCATATCCAAATTTGTGTTTGCAGTCATAAATGGTTGTCTGGTGCATTTTGTGTTGCCATTACGCCACTTGTTGTTTTTAGCTTTTTTTTATTCATAGATTTTTTTTTTTGTCCACAATTGTTGGACAATAGTTCCTGCCTTTGTCATGGGCTGGATGCTGACAACTTTGAGAACCATTGATCTATACCCTGCTTGCTCCATTTGACCAAACAAACTYGGAACAGTTCAAAGTCTACCTGCATCCATCCTGTCTGGCCTGGATAACACAAGCACAGTCAGTGCCTGTCCATGGGTGGAGGAATGTTATGTATCCAGTGACTACAGGCCTAATGGACAATAGACTGCAATCTATGCGCACAGGATGCAAACGCCCCTCTCTTCAYTTCAACCTTATCTTGGTAAATAAGCTTATGCTCATCAAGTAAAATAGAGTGTATCTTTAYGTAACAATAAATCACTTCCAAAAACAATTACAACTTTTGTAACCCTTATCACTGCAGGGGATATGCTTCCTCTCTAAATCCCACTCATTTAAAAGCAGCCAGCAGGTCTGACCAGGAACAAGCAATGGAAATAGAAACCAAGTTGCAAGACATTTCATCCAAGGAGCATTAAAAGTGTTTAAAATGTCAATTCAATAATGTCTGAGAGTTCCCATATTTGATTTGAAGCCATTAAAGGTGAGCCAAATTCCCATGAACTGTTGTGCATTAACCATCCCTGCAACATAAAAGCACACTTGTTATAAAAATGATATTTATTTTGCAGTAAAACACTTCATGTAAAATATTATGCAGCGCAACAGCGGTAAATGTACAGTTTTATTTACAATACGCTCAACAAATAAAATGCAACAAATGAACCTGTGACAGTCATTGAGTCCTGAGGATTTTTTATACATATATTACAATGTTAACCAGCAACTAAAATAAAAAAAGATTCCTTTCTGTGGAGAAAGCAAAATGTGAGTGAGAAACTTAAAAAAAATAGCATTTTACAGTCGGTTAGACAGAAACTGCACATTCAGCTGTCTTGTGTTTTGTGTCAGGATGACACAGTTTGAAAGCTTGTTCAGGTTTGGTGTCTCCTTCAGATTGCAATGGATTTGGAGCTTTCTGCAGACTCAGAGTACACAGAGCTCCTCCTGGTGACAGATTCAAACCTGACATTTGTCTTCAACTTGCAGCCCAGCGACCTCAGGATGTTCAGCAGCTGACGCCTGAACTTCACCCCAACAAAGGCATACAGGATGGGGTTGAGGCTGCAGTGCAGGTAGCCCACCGATGATGTCACCACCAGAGCTTTGCCCAGAGAAGTGTTCACTTCACTTGAATAGGTTTT